ACTAGTTGTTAGTCTATGACTGCACTTGTATTATAGTTTACCTTTTACCTTGTACTGCCACCGCTTTGTTCTGCAATATTGGTACCTTCTAGTGGTGTTCCGATTAATTGAAATAATCGAAGATTGGTCGCAGTGGCCAAACAACCAAGCAATCGATCACATTTTCTCATAATGGAACACAAACGATTTTTGAACCGCTGTAATAGAGTTTGAAATACTTGATGATGGGAAAAAACTAGGACGTTGTCAGGGCCGGAAAACGTGTTTAATTCTTAGAAAACTCACTTCACTTTCTGAAAAGTCATGACTGAATATTTCTTGAAGAATCTGGGAAGGTAATGTTACACTGGAACTGAATCATTTTACACTGGATGTGAAATTTGCAAATGTAATTTGTGCCGTTTCTAAATAAAACAAAAAAACAACAACAGAGAACCAAATGTTTTTCTTTATAGTCTTACTTTTCTGCAACTACAACCTGAATAGGAAAATCTAAAAATAACGTTAACCAATTTTTTTCGATGATTGGTCGTTGGTATTGAACCAATCATCAATTGTGAGATTCCAACCAATTCCCAGCACTAGTACCTTCATACTGATGTGCAAACTTAATTAAATTAAATACGGTTGTTTATTAAAGCACGTTCCTTTGTTCATTTGCTGGTTTTACGACACACATGGGTACGATGTGTGAAGCCCATTTCTGGTGTCCCCCGCCGTGATATTGCTGGAATATTGCTAAAAGCGGCGTAAAACTTAACTCACTCACTCACTCATTCTTCGGATTCTCGGCTAACTATTAAAAGTCCACATGTAACATAGGAACAATATATTTGGAACTTTCTTACTTGTCATTTTACTGTGAACCAAAGAAATAGTTCGTTATATTCCTTAATGACCAACACAATCTAATCGATATATTTGCATGTAGTTGTACGTGTTGAAACATGTTTGGTGCTTTGGATTATTAATCATTTGTACGTTTTAAGGAATATATACTGAGAGAAACAAATAAAGGGACATAGGAAAACTCAAGCGTTCCTTTAATATTTTCCTGTTTTAATTTTCATGTTGTCATTACCAGCTTTGAATAGTGCTGTGGGAGGAAATCTGAGAATACATAAAGGAACACTGCCATGAAGTGGTGACCCCTTATTTGTTTCCCTCTGTATATTTACAGTGTGACAGTTATTTCATCTTCCTCTTTCGTCAAATTTGTTGGTAACTATATTAACGACAGGAACAACAATGAACAGCCAGCAGTTCTTCTGGCCCAGGAGGAAAACAGCAGAAGAAGAAGGGGAAAAGGAAATTTTAACTTGTGTGGGATCCTGACGACGGAGGACCTCATCTCACGTTTCAGCCACCCGGTAGTATCGGGACATACCCTATCTGACATGTAAACTATGACGTCATAGAGGAAAATCCCCGTCCGACAACAGCCATGTGTATGCTAAACATTGGAATGTCACCTATTTTCATATCATAACACATAGCACTGAATATTCGATTTCAGCGTGTTCTATTGTCCGAGAAAACATGGTGTACGAGTGCGTTCATTCCCACCCTACATTGAAAGCCACGCATAACACAACGGTAACACAACACGTATATCTAGTACGTGAGACAGTAAGCACAGTACTGTAGTAACGCGTTCACCGTTACTAGTATATGGTATTCATGCAGTAACCGTTATACGTAAGCTTCGAACATGCCCTGTGAGTGCTATATTAAAACTCTGGGTAAGAACATTGGTCCAAAACAAGATGAGCTTGTGACTGGCGACTGACGGGATTAGGTGGTAAGGACAAACAAGGAAATAGTTATTTGTTACTTGGTAGCACAAGAATTCTGACATTTTCTGGCAGTAAAGAAAAATCACATATGGTATTCGACTGTCCAAAAAGATAAAGTACAGACATGCATGATAACAGACTAGAATATCGTCTCTTAAATGGAAACAAGACAAGTTCTTAAATTATCTCAATTAAGTATAATAAATGGAGGCTTAGAGACTTTCTTCATTTACAGAAACTGCAGAAACGTAGACTTGCCACATATTCTAGACTTGCATGGGCTGTATTGGGTGGATATGTTTCAGCGACCACATAAAATAAAATAAGATGACAATACCCACGAAAACGTCATCGGTTTCTGTAATTTTGTCGAACCGTATGTCCTTATTCAAAATTCACGTTCTCGACTCCCTACATGGGCACAATGTGTGAAGACCTGGCCTGCTGTGGTACAGCTGGACTATTTGCTGAAAGCGGCGTAAAATCATACTCACACACTCTTTGCATTTTGACTGTTATAAAACCTGTTCGTGGTGAGCTGACTTACCAAATGAAATGCAGTTTTCGTTAAATCGCTTCTGTCATACGTACATGATTCAACTACGTGCGAAATTGCAGCAGTGTACAGCGCCACCTTTGTTGAACGACGTCCTCTGTTCGATTATGCATGTAGCTACAATGCAGGCATTTGCTAAACGGCCTGTACACGCACTTTACCATGTCAGTCTGTCCCAGTTTAGAGTACAGTGAAAATACAGATAACGTTTATACCACGCTGTGCCCAGTCGGATAATCCAGTGATTGATAGTTATTGATAAGCGACGATCCAAGCCGTTCGATGATACGCTCTAACCCGTCACCGCCGCTCTTCACCACAATGGGTTTCCAATGACTGATTCTAATCAGTTGAGGTTCACCTTCTTTAAACCAATGACAATATATGTTTTGCGTGTGAGGGATTTGTAAAAATAAAATAAAATCGTAATTCCTTAACTCTTAAAATGAAAGTACTTACTCCATCCCCAAGGTCAGGGTCGATGTCATAATAGCGAAATCCCACTTCCGGTACCAAATCCCCATGTCCGTCACACAGTAAGGAACCAAGAAGCTCACATCTCCCTCCGGGTCCCGTATTGAAGGAGTGGCACGCTGATGTACGCGTACAGGCCTGCGTGCACGCCAGGAGGGACGTCGACGTGAACGTCAATAACGGCGTCACGTTGAATTTGACGTTCATCGACGACGACATATGTGCTCGGTAGTAACGACTTGAAGCCACGGTGAAACCAAGAAGCCAAACAAAGTAACCGAACACAGATAACGAGAGAGCTTTGTGATTCATCTTAAACGAGAAGCCTCCGTATATATACGATGATGAAATCGTTCATTCACTGACGTGAATGCAATGTATGCTACGGTATCCAACCTGTGAAATACGTCTTCAGTTGGTGGAATCCCGACTTGCAGTGTTTTTGTAGAGAGCATGTTTTCGAGGTATCGGGCTAACTGAAGATTAACCATTTACTATTGATATTGACCTATGTTATAATGTATTTATACACACACGCGTATGTTAACAAGCACGTGGGAAAGGCGCGGGATGTTGTTGACCACTGTTCCCCGCGTCCATTGTCTCCAACCAGTAATCGCCTCTACTGCTGGTCAGCATCAAATAACATCTCTAATTGGTCAACACTGAGAGATTGATGAAGCATGTGTTTGACAAGTTTGGAGGGAAATGCGTCTTGTAATATGTCGAAGTGTATTTCATGAGTGACATTATGCTAATTTGGCAGAATGGTTTCAAGTCAAAACATTGATTACACAACAGTCTCGTTTCCTGTTGACCGGGTCCCGTCCTAGTGCGCAACTTAGTACAATAACCAGTTTAGAATTTTGAGACCAATTCATTTAACTGAATACATAATCATTAATCAGTATTATTTGATACATCTAAGCACTTGTATATTGCAACAGTACGCTCCTTCTAATCCTTGCAAACACGTCGTGCAGCGTGCTCTGTCGTACAGCGAGCTCTGACAAACAGAAACCTGGAAATCGTGGAAATCTCAAAACGTGGCTCTCCCGCTAGAAAAGTTTGGCGGTCTGGTACGGACTTGATATTATATCAATCCCATTGTGCGTTACAGAACTACATTGAAGAAGAGCAAAAACACATAACAGGTGTAACCAGTGAGCCAGATGCATTGTGAATCATTTTACGACCTATCAAACAGGGGCAGTCTGTGACGTCTTAGTTAAGGTCATGCTGCCTACACCTCGCCATAAAAATTAGAAATACGATGTTAGTAAAGTTTAAAATAAATTAAAATTCATTTGTAAATACCATTTTCTTATGAAACAAGGAATTGTAATTCAGTGTAACCATTGTTGTTTGGGATGTCTATTTTCACTTTCACACGAGATAAATTCGAATCGGCTGAAAAGTAGGTCATTGTCTGAATAGGTTAATGTGAGCCTCATGTTTCGGTTTGACAGTTTGTTGTCAACGCCGTAGTCAGCTGATACCATGACAGCGTGTTTGTTGTTTAACGCCACACTCAGCAATATTCCAGCTATATGACGGCGGTTTGAAAGTTATCGAATCTTGACCTGACAATCCAGTCATTGATATTACGAACAACTCCAGCTATCATTAAGCCACCAAACCTGACCAACCGATCCGTTTAGCCGCCTATTACGAACGACATTGGTTGCTGGGGACGAATTCAAACCCGGAATTTATATCATTGCAGGTACCATGCATGTTGCAGTCCCCTGGACTGTAGTATGTTGGTCTAACTATTAACACTCTCATGGTGAAGTATAGCACAATGTGATTACCTTGTACATGTATGCATCTGACGAGCAAGGGCAATTATACACACATGTTTGATGTGACAAATCGGATCCAAATTTTGGTTGTATATTTTCTTTTGTTCTTCAGTGTACTGATTATTTTCATGTATTGTCCGCCAGCAACATGGTACCATATACCAGCAATGTACGTGGATGACCTATGCTTTCTCTTTAATGCTGAAAAACTGCCGATGTAGGTTTAACTCACTCACTCATTGTGCGACATGGAAGAATTTGCTACTGTTCAAGAATTCTCTGAAATCAGAAAAAACGTGTTTTTTTCTTGGTGATGGTTGGTTTGACACGACCAGGCTGTTTGCAGATACAATTTATGATTAGCAATAATTACTTTGCGATTTAATCCACATCAAATACATATTTGCCAGTGTACTCCTTCTTGAAACGATCAGATGTACAGGTATCTATTCCTTTTAGTTAGGGTCCATCAGCCGAATGTACAACTACTTTCATTACATATAGTTGTTTTCAAAGATCGTGTCATTTAATGACTCGGCATATGTGAAGAGTGTACTTGCCAAAACCGATACCTGCACATACAGGTATATACATTGCCCGCAATCAAGTAAAATGCAGTTTTTACAGTGCAGTTATACGTCAGTTAAATAAAAAAAACCAAAATATAAAAGACAACATATGTATGATTCGTGCAAGCTTATAGACCTCGTCATCTAGAGTGTTGTCTTAACGTAATTCGTTCCACTGTCCTTGACCTTGATCTTTTGCCATCCGGTGATGGAGGAGAATTTTCGGTTTCCTCGTCCTTGAATCTAACCGATTTGGTCAGACGTCCATCGGCAGTCCGTGGCAGGTTTGTCCGAGCTTGTTGAGTTATGAACACCTGATTGTCATTGGGTAAACTCCGCGGTGTGGCTCTTGGCGGACTCGGTGTCCTTGGTTCAGGCTCCTTGTCAACTTTGGGTCTATGTGTTGACCAGCCAAAATGAATCTCGGTTAACTCCCGTTGTGTTAATTTTGAACACGGCCGAACTGTACTTTTGAACTTTGGCTTTTCCTTTTCGTCCATTGCTTCTTCCCAGACGTTCCGTTTCTTTTTTGGTCTTACCGTAAATGCGTCTATTGTTGTAATTGTTGACGGCGTGCGGCAACGTGACCTTAGAGGACGCATATAACCCGGAAGTTTCATTGCTTCCGGGTCATTTGCACCCATGTCCATGATGACCCTTCTGCGACGGACTTCCGGTGATGCCGGCCTCTCCACCAGGATCAGAGGTTCGTGGTTAAGGTACTTGCTTTGTTTGACAAATGTTTGACGTAATTGTTTCATCTTAAATTCCATGCGGCGGACCTCAAGGTTGATTTTAATCAGGTTTTTACACAACAGCGGATCATCCTTTGTGTTAATGTTCAGTAAACATTCCCCGAATTTAGAATCCTTGGGAGATCTTGCTGCGTTCATTGCCTTTTCCCTCTCTAACCGGGCCTTGCGGTTTAGGAGGCTGTCAACACTCACTCTCTCCTCCATCTCATAACGCTAGGGAAGCTCTGAGATACCTGAAACATGAGAATATTTTCTGTTGTCACCAAATAATTGCTGGATATAGGGATTACTACACTATTGTCTGTCACATACCATTTATCTTACAACGTGATGTTTCCAGATCTGCAGTACCCCATGCTTGTCGTAAGAGTCGACTAACGGGATCGGGTGGCCAGGTTTGCTGACACATATCATCGTATCTCAATTTCGTGGATCGATGCTCATGCTGTTGATGACTGGATTGTCTGGTCCAGAAACGATTATTTGTAGACTGCCGTCATATACCTGGATTATTGCTGAGTGCGGCGTAAAACTAAACTCACTCACTCACCCCTTGGTCACTTCGAGAATCCGTCTTTGGTTCGTTATTTTCGTGAGTGAATTTTGTTTTACGCAAACGCGATACCAACGTTATAATACGATTGCATGAAAATAATCGAGTCTGGGCCAAGTAGACCAGTGATTGAATTCTACAAACCAAATCATCCGGGTCACATCGTATGCTCGTTCGTGTTGCGGGTCAAGCTAAGGAAATCTGGAATCCTCTCGGGGAATTCCATTTTTGAATGGCATAATGATTGCTATCGATCTGTTCAGTAACATATTTCAGTTACTTACATTGGGAGCACGGTAGACGTTGGGAGCACGGTAGACACAGTTGTCCGTGGCACTGCATTAAGCTGTGCGGAGTTGTGTCCCTTAGATGCCCGAGCGCCTTATGGTTGTGGGTTCAAGACACATACACGCACGCACGCACGCACGCACGCACACACACAGATCAAGCTGAGACACCGTGATATAACTGGAATACTGTACAATGGCGCGTTAAACCAAACTCGCTCTGACAATTTCTCTCTATGGTATGCAGCTTACACACGACAAGCTCGAGTGAGTGAGATATTGAGACATTATTCGTACATAAGCTTGCAATGTACATCTATTTCGCTATGAGTTTAAGAAAAAGAATTGTTACAGAAAATAATTTGTAAACTTTGTAAACTACTCATGTAAACTTTAAATGTACTACAATCCTGTGGCCTTTTAAATACTGAATAAAGATTGAGTGGGCTCCACACATTGTATCAATGTGTGGAATCGAACCCGGATTTACGCGAATGCTTTAACCACTATGCTACCCCATCGCTCTTAAACTCGACAAGCGTTGACAACATCCTATTGTATATACTGTATATATATATATATATATATATATATATATATATATATATATGTGTGTAGCAATGGTACGTTATGGACAACATGCTTTCCCTCTTCGCGAACTCCTTGTCTCATCACTGATTTTCAGTCATATAATTTCCTTTATCATTTCGCCCAATTGAATCGGCGGCAAATCGAGGCCAGTCATTCTACGCGTGGACGGTCTAACGTTCCATGATATTGTGCTATCCACAGTCGAATTTAATGTACGCATATCTCAGTAAAAATATGCATGAACTGAACTTCAAAACATGGAAAAATCATAATCAAACACCTTAGTTACACGTACAATGACAAGTAAATTGAACATTTTGACGACACTTACTATCAACTAGCCTGTCGTCTCTCCGTCCCGACTGACTATCCGTCACCCTGACATGTTCCTTCCTATTCAAATACTCCCATACGTTGCCTCTAAAAGCACTTAGTGTTGTCAGTAGGTACATACAAACAGAGGACAGTCTTCTTGCCACTTGAATACAAGCAGTCAGTAAATGGCCTTTGTTCGTCAAGCCCGCGACACAATACTGTATTTCAAGCGTCAAGGGTCGCGGGCTGATATATGGTACTGATCTTAGCCGGTATACTTGATATGTCCTCTGAAGTCTTATTGAATCCGTTAAATAACGTATACATCTACATTTAGTTATTTGGGACCATTGACAAACAGTCCTAAGGGGAGACAATGGTGCATTGTCTGGCGACCATTTGAAGTCTGAGCCCAGACTGTTTAATTGACATTCTGCAACTAGGTCTTGCTTCTGTGGAATTTGGTCATACGCTATTCTGGATTTATATAATATACATGTAATATAATTAAGAAATATGTTTTGAAGATATTCCAACTGAATTTGCTGTGAATAAGTTTTTGGTTCGCTGTTTGCATGTACATTAAGATTACGTCGCAAAGAGAGTATTCCAGCTATATGGCGGCGGTCTCTAAACACTCTGGACCAGGCGGTCCGGTGATTGACATCATGAGCATCGATCTGAGTAATTTGGGACAACACTACATTCGTAAGCGGGCTTGACCACCTCATCCCGTGGCGAAGGTTAGTGCGTCGAACGACAAGCATTGTTGCTGAAGACCAATTCCAACCAAGATCCATAGGGATATTTTAGATTCCGTATCGCATCTGCAATATCTCTGTATTTGGGCTTGTTCTAATAACGAAATCATTTCGTCTATGTCAGGATTCATTTACGCTCAGTGATTTTAAAATGCAAAAGCACAATTAGTCAAGCGTGACGCCACCGTTTGCTTGCGTAAGCAGAACCACCGAACTCATCCTATCTAGATGTTTATACACACACCACACTCTTTCATCTTCTCAAACTACCGGTCACGGTACAGTATATTCTATCGCATGTCTATGAATATATTTAGCTGATACCAAGCTGTCTAAAAATACAAATTTTGAAAATGGAATGACACGGTGAAGACAATGTAGACACAAAGTTTGCAAAACCGATCTTTCACCTCTAAACATGAGCAAGAATTTCTGTAGAAATCTGTAGAAATACCATTATTATTTAGATAATTAGAACAAGTTGAAGATGACGTTACGGTGCCAAAGGCGAGCTGAACAAATGGTTAAATGATTATTGAGCTTATTCAAAGTCTCGACTTTCATCGTAACGGCTGTGACTGACGCAAAATATGAATATAGAACTGCATGTATTTACACGTCAATACTCATGAATACCGTTACCATAACGGTTTACATTGTTCTCAACGTAATGCTTGACCCGTTATTTAATGCCAGGTGCTGATGGATGCATAACGGTGTTTATGAGACAAGCTCAATCCTTATTAGTGTCAACGCCAGGGGCAAAAAGCTGCGGATTTATGTATGGTAGCCAATGGAGGAACTGTTATCAAATAGAGCTGAATAGTTGGTTTAAACCACGTAATTGTCACATAGAGTACGGCTTATGTCGCGTACTTAGCGGCGCTTACATATCGGGTCTGTGATTTGAGGCGATAGGTAGATAAAGAGAGCACAGGTGGCATTGGAAATACATACTGGAAATTTGACATGAGTATATATTGAAGACGAAAGAGTGAGTGAGTGAGTGCGTCAGTCCGTGCGTGCGATCGATCGATCAAATGACTGATTGATATTCCAGCAATAACAGAGGCTTTTCTTTCTGCGAAAATTGCGATCATTTAATGTAGACACTAATATCTTAAAATTATTCTACCAAACATTCATTAATAGTATTAACTTTCTGCTTTCACGTCCGGTATTGACAAAATTGTAAACATATCCCGCAAAATTTGCGGCTTCAATTTCGAACCTCTACCTTTTCAGTATGAGTCAAAAGTTAAGAAGAAACCTCTGGCCATTCAATCGGGTCCATCACACTTTTTAAATGAATGTTATGAACGTCTGCCTTCTGGCCGCCGTTTCATGTATTACAAAACTAGTAGAACTTCAAAATCATTTGTCCCATACAGCATAAAACTTCTAAATCTTACTCCAAAATTGTAATTGTGAAATCTATGATGAGGCACGAGTGATTATTAGATCATAAACTTTGATTATGTTATTATTCAACATTATATTCTGATTAGCTTGGCATTGTGTATATATACTTTAAATTATTTGTTGTTATATGCTTGTATTAGCTCTTTGAATGCAAAACAAATTTCCATTGCGGGACAATAAAGTTTATCTTATCTTATAAAATTAAATTAAAACAAAAACACAAGCCCGTAATATTAATGAATCAGTTCCGGAAATATAAAACAATGTAATATAATTCTTGGCATGTTTAGAATATGTAGACGTGGCTCTAGGCTCTAAAATGAAAACTCGTTTCATATGCTTACACCTTAAGTCTTAAAAGCCCACATAACAGACTATTAGTATTCCTTAAGGATTTGACCGCCTCCGTGGTGTAGTGGTTAGAGCGTCCGCCCGGAGAGCGGAGGGTCGCGGGTTCGATCCCCGACCGCGTCATACCAAAAGATGTTAAAATATGGTACTTGCCTGGCGCTTGGCATTAATGGGTACAACAAGGACTGGTCGGCTCGGAGTCAGTATAATGTGTCTGAGTGGGGTATTCATGCTTCACTGCGGCATGGTATCTCAGTGGGCTGGCACTATAAAACCAGCTAGTACAAGCAGCCGCACATACACATACACACGCATGCACGTCGTCATATGAGCGAAATATTCTCCAGCACGACGTTAAACCCAATTTCACCTCACCTCACGTTAAGGATTTCAAAGCATTTTAAGATCTAGGGAATAATTTGTATTTTTGTGACATTCTAAATACACTTGCAGTAGAAATGCAGAACAGAACGTAATTTTTTCCATCCATTCTTGAATTCATAACTTATGTATCAAAAAAGGACATGGATACTGTAAAACAGTGTGTAAATTCATTGTTTGTTTGGCGGGTGGTTGGGCGTCGGAGATATGCTATAAAATAAATAACCCATTGAAGATTGAGGATTGTGACCTGCTTTTCAAATTCCAGGTATTACACAGGTAAATCCGTGTAAAAACTACCCGGCACCTGCATCTATCTAATCATTTATTGTATCCGGTAGAGCAACTCAAGTGATAATAATCTTGATACAGTTTAAAGGCAAGCTGAAATCTGTACAATCTATACACCTGTCTTAAAAGGATTGAACTACTTCTAGATCTGTAAACCTACCTCTTCTATCTACTTGTCCTGCTGGAGGGTCGAGAAGCGTTGGCAATGTGTAAGCATAACGCAATACAATACACAACGGCCTTATACAAAATATCTCAACTGGATCCGCGTTAGGTGGAGTGTAACACGGGCGCCAACTGTACGCAGTCAATACTAATCGATAATAAGACGGGTCATACAGAGCATCGACTATCTGTAGATCCAGGTCATGGATGGGCGGTAACGTCACCCTGTGTGGAAGACGTCGCAGGGATTGGACACCATGCATTGTGAAATGGAATGTCACTGAGGGACGTGGGCAATCATGTGGGTTTAGGATAAGGTGGGAGGTTTTGTGATTGTTGATCTACAATGAATATTCTGGGATTGTTGGTTTGACGTTGGTCACGGGTCATCGAGAGGTTATTTGCACGTTGTGGGTTGTATCGATAACAGGATTAATACGTTTGTTGAACAAAATGTGAATTTTATTATACATTGAAGGTGTTTCTCGTTGGGAAATTGCGTGAAAAATATTGCCAAGACTGGCTTATGACAACCTGAATCAGATTGACTGCATGTTGTTTAACGTCACACTCCGCTATATTCCAGTTATGTGGCGGCGGTCTATAAGTAATTGAGTCTGTACCAGACAATCCAGTGATCAACAGCATGAGCATGGATCCACGCAATTGGGATACGATGATATGTGTCAGCGAACCTGACCACCCGATCCCGTTAGTCGACTCTTACGACAAGCATGGGTTACTGCAGATCTGGAAACATCACGTTGTAAGATAAATGGTATGTGACAGACAATAGTATAGCATTGATCGACGCACTTGTCAACCAAGTCAGCGAGCCTGACCACAGAAGACAGAAGACTTGACTGACTCACCAAGAATGTTACTGTACCATGAGTTTTGTTTGTTGAAGTTCTTGTCTTCATGAAAAGGGTCTTGAACTATTACTCCTGCTGCTGCTACTACTACTACTACTACTACTACTACTACTATTTCTACATCACGGATGGGTATAGTTTTACGCCACTTTCAGTAATATTCCAGCAACATCATGGCGGGAAACACCGGAAATGGGTACTACACATTGAACCCATGTGGGGGGATCGAACTCAGATCTTCTGCTTGACAAGCAACAGCGTTCACCATTTGGCTACCCCACCGTCCCGATAGCGTTATGAAGATCAGCAAGGAAATATATCACACATACTATTAGTCATCTCTTGTCATATCTTTCGTGACCGGAAACAAAGCTGACATTTTTAATCATATCGGCCCATTCATTAAATATGCTTTGCCAGGTCATCCGATAAGATAGAGTCACATGTTTTCTACCGAGTGACGTTCGTTGACATTATATTGGCTGCCAGTAGTCAGAAAGGTGAAACAAAATATATATTGCACTAACGCCAGCTGGGTGAGGGTGGAGGGTGTGAGGGTGGAGGGTGTGAGGGTGTAAGAGTGTAAGGGTAAGGCGGTGAGGGGAGTGAGATGTGAGGCGAGGTGTAAATCGAATTTGCACAGATTCCAAGCTTATAACCTATATATATACTGCATTAACGCCAGCTGGGTGAGGGTGGAGGGGTGGAGGGTGTGAGTGTGTGAGGGTGGAGGGTGTGACGGTGTGACGGTGAGGCGGTGGAGGGGAGTGAGGGGTGAGGCGAGGGGTACATGGAATTTGATCAGATTCCAAGCTTATAACCCAAATATATATTGCATTAACGCCAGCTGGGTGAGGGTGGAAGGTGTGAGGGTGAGGCGGTGGAGGGGGTGAGGGGAGTGAGGGGAGTGAGGGGAGTGAGGTGTGAGGTGTGTGTATATGGAAATTGCACAGATCCCAAGCTAAAGATAGGCTCTGATTATGTTTCTAGTCTGTCAGCACCAAACAATTACTCATAGGTTAATCAAAGTAGTAATCGTCAGAATCCTACCTCACTCCGGGCTCTCCTCCTACATCAAGGGGCAGTGAGGTACCCGCCTGGTTTAAACGTTCACTCGTCACGACGAAGACCCGGGTTCCACACATGGTTACAATGTGTGAAGCCCATTTCTGGTGTCCCCCGCCATGATATTGCTGGAATATTGCTAAAAGCGGCGTAAAACCAAACTCAGTCACTCCTACATCAAGCTGATAAGCCGTGATGTAACTGGAATATTGTACTTAGAGCCACGTTAGACCAAACTCAAACTTAGGTGCAACTCTGTACTTAGTACCGATAACACACTCAGCAGAATCGATAGTTATTCTGGCTACCTGCTCATATCGTACGGGGGTGTAAGCAACTACTGAATATTTCAAGAATGTCACTTACAGCTTATAGACCAGTTAATTTGTTTCCCCGAAAGCCCAAAATCTGAGCTAATTTCCTGAATTAACGATACTGTAACTTGAAGTGCATCTACATTAAACAGGTGTACCGGATATCACCGTCTTATGTAAGGCTTCTCAACATAATGCTACTGGACGGGGATGTCTAGATATAGCCTGTTGTGGCAGCGCAAGGGTTGACGTGGATCCTGCTGGAGTATGGTGTACGAAGCTGTGGGCTGAGTTATCTTAAGTCCCCATCCTCCTCAAAGAGGTGGCTGAGCTTCGGTTGCTGGTGTGTGTGTGTGTGCGTGCGTGCGTGCGTGCGTGCGCGCGCGCGCGTGTGAGCTGTTTTATATAGTTACAGGTAGAATTGCTGTACCTGTAATTGCCGAACCTAAACAAATATATACGAACCACTCATTAATAATAGGAGAGGTGAAGAGGGTGAGTGGAGAAGAGGAGAGGTGAGGAGGGTGAGTGGAGGAGAGGAGAAGTGAGGAGGGTGAGTGGAGGAGAGGAGAGGTGAGGAGGATGAGTAGAGGAGGAGAGGAGAGGAGGGGGAGGGGGGAGAGAGAAGAGGAGGAGGAGGAGGAGGGAGGGTGAGAGGAGGAGAGGTGGGGTGAGGAGAGGAGGTGAGTGGAGGAGGAGAGGAGAGGAGAGGAGAGTGGAGGAGGAGGTGAGGAGGGTGAGTGGAGGAGAAGAGAGGTGAGAAGGGTGAGTGGAGGAGATGAGAGGGGGAGAGTGAGAGGAGGAGAGGTGAGGGAGGAGGGGAGGAGGGTGAGCGGAGGAGAAGAGAGGTGAGAAGGGTGGGTGGAGGAGAGGAGAGTGAGAGGAGAGGTGAGGAGGAGGAGGGGAGGAGGGTGAGTGTAGGAGAAGAGAGGTGAGAAGGGTGAGTGGAGGAGGGAGAGGTGAGGGGAGAGGGGAGGAGGGTGAGTGGAGGAGAGGAGGAGGTGAGGAGGGTGAGTGGAGGAGAAGAGGTGAGAAGGGTGGAGTCGAGGAGGAGAGGAGGTGGGGGAGAGAGAGAGGAGGAGAGGTGAGGGAGAGAGGGAGGAGGGTGAGTGGAGGGGAGAAGAGAGGAGAGGAGAGAGAGAGAGGAGGAGAGGAGGAGGGAGGGAAGTGGAGGAGAGGAGGAGGGAGAGGAGGAGAGGAGAGGAGAGAGGAGAGAGGTGAGAAGAGGGTGAGTGGAGGAGAGAGAGGAGAGTGAGGGTGGGTGGAGGAGAGAGGAGGAGGAGGAGGAGTAGAGGAGAGTAGAGGTGAGGAGAGGGGAGGAGGGTGAGTGGAGGAGAATAGAGGTGAGAAGGGTGAGTGGAGGAGAGGAGAGGTGAGGAGAGTGAGAGGAGAGGTGAGGAGAGGGGAGGAGGGTGAGTGGAGGAGAGGTGAATTTAAATTTAACGTCGCGTTGAAGGGTGGAGTTTGTGTTGTGTTTGTGTATGTGCGGTGTGTGTGTATGTGTGGGGTGTGTGTGTATGTGTCAGTCAGCCTGTCCGTCCGTGTCTCTGTAGTGTATAGCCGATTGCACAACTAATTCTGGGACCAGACCATGGAGACACTATGCCGCACTTTAAACATGGAAACCCCTCAAACACGACAATGATTACGTGCCGTCCCTGTCCGTCATTTTTAATCCCCTTCCTACCACATGCCGCCCACAATAAATGACTTTGACGTGTTAGCTGCCTACGATCTAAAACAAGGTCCACCCGCACCTCCCCAAATAGCAATACAAAGCCCCTGTAAAGCCTTCCATAAGTAACATCCTTACACACTACGCAAATTTCGCTAATACCTTGACTTTGTGAAATACATGAAATAAATGACAGGATATATATGTCGTACCTGCAATGTCTCTCCAATCAACGTCTGTGATGTCAGAAAATGTAGTCCATCCAACTCCAAAGTCTTGAATCAAACCTACACACGCTACGTCAAGCTTCGCAACACCCTGTACAAGTCACTGTAACATACATACAGTGTCAATTTCACCGTCACGACAATCAACACGATTCTCGCTCCAAGCACCTAGCGTTTATTGCCTGGTATATCCCATTCGGCTGAAACTAATATCCCAATTTTCAAACCACAGGCACACAGAAGCTTGACGTAACAATCACAGATGTGTGATCGCCTGTGAATGACGCTGCCCTGTGATTAAAACACGTGACAGGTGATATTCGATCGTGTATGTTTCGTGTGACGGGCCTTGACACCGGGAGGGCGTTTGTCACACGCTGTCTATTAAATATAATGGTATGATCGCTCACTCTGAGCCCCCATAACAGCAGTTTGTTTGAGTGGTATTAGCATGTGTCGGTGTATTGTAAAGTAAACTGATCGGCTCTCGACCGTCGTGTTAGAACACCTGAACGGATAACAGCATATTTACATATATGCGGTATTAAAGTACCCTCTCGGTCTATCTTCCACCGCGTGTGTCCGTATATAACATGACCATGATCGATTTTATCATTATTATTATTATTATTGTTATTGCTATTTTTCTTAATCTTGTGTTTATATCTGCCTAAGTGCCATGGGTGTGTTTGGCTGTCTTTCTTTCTATCTGCTACCTTCTCTGAACGATTTTCTTCTTTTTTTGTCATGTGTGAAGTCCATTTCTGGTGTCCCCCGCCGTGATGTTGCTGGAATATTGCTAAAAGCGGCGTAAAAAACAAACTCAGTCAGTCAGTCTTATTTTGTCAGACTGTCTGTTCGTTTGATTATTCGACGATCGGTCGAAATCACTGATATTACAAAACGACAAACCACCATTGTGAAAAAGGACAGTGAATATTAATAACAAGTGTATGGGCAGCATGCACTCAGACATTTCACTGGAGTAGCAACAATAACAAGCCCATTGAGTCACTGTATAAATGAAAGAATGAAGTCCAAATTATCAACTTAAACTTTAGTATCGTTTCTTTTGCCCGTTAGTTTATATATACGCCTGTCTGTGTGTTTTTCAGCGTGGCTTTATGTTTATCTGTCCGACTGGCCGTTTATCCGTTTGCCTCACTGCATATAACATTTTATTATACGAATGTTAATTGCATAACATTTCTTTCGTTGTTTTCTTGATTTCACACTGAATGGTTTTACTGACAGTTTTCTGGGTTAAACTTCGTGTTTCTATATATAGAAGCAAGAACGTTAACACAGAAAGCTGTTCGTAGAACCATATATATTTGTGTATCTGCCTTATCTATCAATCTGTCTGTGGGGTCGGTTCTGTAGCGTAGTGGTTAATGCGTTCGCTGGTCACGCCGAAGACACGGGTTCGATTCTCCACATGGATACAATGAGTGAAGCCCATTTCTGGTGTCCCCCGCCATGATATTGCTGGAATATGGCCAAAGCGGCGTGAAACTATACTCACTCACTGTCTGTCTTACATCATATTGGTATAAATGCGCCCTATGTGTCAGTATTATACGAACACATGTAACGAAATACAATTATCTGTTGTATATAACATATTTGACCAGTTAGTGACAACGTATAACCAACCATGCCCACCGACCTGACAACATACCCCAGCTGATCCATTGTCGTCCCCCGGCCGCTGTGTACCTGTGCCCCCAGGTGAGCGTGCAGGTCAACACTCTCGGGTCGCGCTCATCGATAGATCTGACTGCATACATCTCCTGTCCAGTCAATATCAACTCTCCATAAAGTCATCGATGTGGAGACTTTCTTAAAATAAGTGATTGTGAGCTTATCGAATCGAAATAATCAATAACTAATATTCTATAAACCTGTGCATAAAGAAATACACGTCTGGCGACCAACCTCACAGATTTAACAATCGATAAAACGTCTCTACTTAATAATAGAGAAATAGTCACCCCGTAGACAATTACACTATAGTTCTGAACACGACGGTGTTTGAGTAGATGTAGGTTAAATTAGAATCACAGTTTTGTTTTGCTGGTTGTTTTTCGATGCATATAGCAATAAAGGTGGTAAGATGGCCTATTTGCAGACTGTTTCAGTGTTGTCACAACCCCTAGTGTACAGTACACAACCCTGTGCACTTAAAAGAACCCACGAATCCGTTGGTATATGACCAGATGGTGGCCACATGAATACGTGCAAACACCTGGTTGCGGGTACAGCAAGATTAGAATCGTTGTTCATGGTATCAACCATTAGTTTGTATATTTCATAACATGGTTAGCCTAGTGGTTAAAGAGTTCGTTTGTCACGCCAAAAACCAGGGTTCGATACCCAACATGGTTACAGTGTGTGAAGTCCATTTCTGATGTCCCCCCGACATGATATTGCTGGGATATTGTGAAAAGCGGCGACAAGCTAACCTCACTCACTCAGTTGTTACGGGCATGTCTGTATAATATTTTTTTACAGATGATAATAAACTTTGAAGTATGTTCAATATCATTAGTTTATCATGTTGGTTGTAAAAGTAAGGAAAAATTGCTTTGCATTTCTTGCTAAATCCCGCAGACACGGTGAAACATTACCAAAGTTAAAGGTACATCTTAAAAACTAATTCCCTGACAACATTTATTTTGTATTCAGCTTAGTTGACGTGTCTGTCGATATTTATTTAGCACGATCTAAAAAAATCGTTAATTTTGTTTGCAAAAATGGTCCACATATTCATGAGTGGGTTGTAATGTCGCGTAACGCATACCGGTTTTTAATTAACTGAACACTCTCAGGCCTGCAGCAGTTGTCTCCCTTTATATGGCTCTGCTGATTACATTTGCACAATGGCTGACACTGGATGATATTATTCCGGCTGGCTATGTCGACAAAGTCAACGATTGAGGCTTGTGTTGTCTATCCCACAACAGGGACGTCAATATGGCACGTGTTGTCACCTAGCGGGGTGTTATACAGTGTTGTCAAATATGCGTTGTCAGTAACATGGTGCGTCTTGTTAAATTCTACATACGAATCATACACACGTGATGATTCCGAATAGGATTGGTCTTTAAGAACCCATGCGCAAGTAACGTGATTAACGGGAGCAGGTGGTCAGGCTCACTGACTTGGTTGACACATGTTATCGTATCCCAGTGGCGTAGATCGATGCTCACGATGTTGATCAACATCACCTGTTTCGCATTTAGAGCTGAAATACTACATTTGTCTCGTAGTTTAACCCACATGGGTACAATGTGTGAAGCCCAGTTCTGCTGAAGGGGTCGTTGTCGGCACAGGTACTACAGATATGTACCCCAGGTACGTTTCTGTATACAGACATGTACCCTAAACAAACACAAACTACAGAAATGTACCCGATACCTTAAACGACGGACGAGTCCATATTCCGCAACCCAATACCGAAACCGTATGTAGTTGTTCCCGTTCAACTGATTGCGAGTGGTGTACGTTGTACACCGTGAAATATTCGTTACTGTGTATGTTCTTATATAACGATATCAAATGCATCTAATACAACATTATGACCGTTCCGATGAAGAAAACTCCACAATGCAGAATGGAATCGTCCAAGGGTACGTTTCTGTATACAGAAATGTACCTGGGGTACACATCTGTAGTACCCGTGCCGACAACAACCCCTTCTGCCCCAGTTCTGGTTTCCCCCGCCGTGATATAGCTGGAATATTGTTAAAAGCAAAAACTAAACGAACCTGTCTTTAAGTTGGGGAAATCATAAGGTTCTGTACATCCACGTTGGACTGAATTAGTCAAATGCAATCCCTCTTAAAGGGGCACTTCGCTGTCTCAGTATTGGTGCAGTGGTTGAACACTGTAGAATGTGCAGAGGTTAAACACTGTAGAATGTGCAGAGGTTAAACACTGTAGAATGTGCAGAGGTTAAGCACCTCTGTTTTGTTTTAATTCGATGACCCTCATCTCTCAAGGTCATATGACTTCATCTTAAGAGAAGTGCACGTAGGTCAGAACGTATTTGTCAACAATATCACTATTTGTTATCAATACCTTTATCTGTATCATACGGATAGGTGCAAATATACAACTATGACATTAAATATAATGAGATGAAATTCTTATTCTTTTGTGCTTACAATAATAGTGAGTGGGTGAGTGAGTTTGGTTTTACGCCGCTTTGAGCAATATTCCAAAAACATCACGGCGGAGGACACCAGAAATGGGCTTCACACAATGTACCCATGTGGGGATTCGAACCCGGGTCTTCGGCGTGACGAGCCAACGCTTTAACCACTAGACTACCCCACCGCCCCGCTTACAATAATAAAGAAACAAAGTCATGAAAATGAATTATGTTTAGTTTCCCAGTATCCAGGCTACCTCATTGAGCTTGTCACACAACACAACCATCCAGAGATCTAAGATCTGCAGATAAATAAATATTTATTGACTCTTCCACGTCGAAAACTCAAATCCTTTGTTCTCCGATCAAAAAAACTCTGGAACCAACTGCTACTTGAGCTAGTTTAAAAAAATCTATTAAAACCTTCATTTTTAGAAAAAAACTAAATAAACCTAAATCTTCAGCCACTTCATTCTTTTATGCACCTAAAACTGATTTTGTAAGCATTCATACATGTATGTTCATAATAGCGCCTTGAGCATACATTATGTATGGAATTCAGCGCGATATAAATACACATATTATTATATTTTACAGATTAATATGAAATGCATGAGAGAGGATTCGTCACAATCAGGCTGGTAAGGCTCATATCAGCACAGGGCCCTTGGCCCCCCTCTTCAGGTAGCCTAGACAGCGAATGGGACTTCTCGCAGGAAACGCTGCCTAGTCAAACCCACCAAGAACTTTCCGCAGAATATGAAGGCTCCCAAGCATTGCAGCCTTCTGCAGTACACAGTGTGTCAGAAGTGCTGTGCTCCAGGTGGAGAACCCGGGTACTCTCCTGATTTGCGCCAAGAGATCAGGAGGTACCAAACCAAGGGCACCGAGAACAATGGGGAGCCTGACGACAGTTGTACTTGAAATAGTTTATCGAAAAGGACAAGATCAGGTTTGTTGGCTGGAATTCTCCTGAGGCTGTATATTGTCCTACTACAGGGGCACTGACTGTATGAGTGATTAAACATCCTCCTAGTCTGTTCGCTACTTACCTGTGGTATCATTGCCTAAACTTCACCGAGTTACATTTTCGAAACATAAATTTGTAGAGAACATTAATGTGTC